AAGTATGAACATAAATCAATTATTCTGTCACGTCTCCTAATCACATCACAACATATTACCCACATGTACACATCTTTCATTAGCCAAGGAAAGGGGATTCATTACCCTAACTCATGGGGGTACGTGCCATACGACAAGACACGGCCTTTCATTAGGTCTTACGGAGACTTACCTCGCAAGGTAACCGTATTACATCGACGGGGACAACCGTACCGACGGCCGAAATCGGCTCACGCCGATAGGCTACATGGTTCACATACATACTTAAATCATACCAACTCATCATCAAACCAAACACATATGGCATAGCAAATTTTAGATTAAAACCCACCTGGATAGCTCGGTAGAAAAATTGCACATAAGAGCAAGTACGTAGGATAAGGCTCGACTCCTCAAACACCTACATTTAAGCGAGATAATTTATCAATAATTTATCTCACTACTCAAATTTAACATAAAACCCATACTTAATAAAAATTAAGTCTTAAGGGTTTTAATCGGATTTTTCGTGGACTTGGAACTCTCTCATTTTTGAAAAATGGGACTCGGAGAATTAAATAGATGTCTCGGGACAAATAATTTTTCCCAAAATTTTTATTATTTTAAAAATATTTTAAAAATTAAAATCGGTACGAAAAACGGACTCTGGAATACAAAAATTGACTAAAAACTGAACTGGGCCGGAACTGAAATTTCAGTCCCACAATTGGGCCGCAGCTAAGGAGGGTTAATGGCCCAAGACCTGACCTGCTAAGGGTGCGGGCCTTTGGGCTGTTCGTGGGCTGAATCTGCTGAGGAAGGCGGGCCGCGCGTGGGCTCACTTCGGGCCATATAGCCCGCGCTTGGGCTGCTAACTAATAAACCAAAAAAAACATGCTATTTGCAAGGGGCTAGGATCGAACCCACGCCCTCACATATGTAAAGGAGGGTGGTAACCACTGCACCACGCGCCCGGATGCAAGTTTAAACGTAATAATCAATTACTGAATGAAAACAAATGTCTGCAAGTAAAGTCAAGACTGAACAGAGGGACAAACAACCGAACAGAGCTATGCAAAAGTTTTACAGAAATTAGAAGATGCGAACAGCTGAACGAAAAATTTACTGAACTCGACCACGACATAACCAACGGGCAACTAAATTCGAGAGATTATAAAAAAAAATAACATATTTTCATAGTTTCGAAACTTTAGAAAAATAACCGGGTTTGTTTGGAAAAAAAAAAACAAACATCAAAACACGGTTTGGAAACAACGAACAAGACGACCCGAAATAATTTACAACGAGACTACGAAACGACAAAACGAGACTACGAACTAATACGGTTTTATCCCAGCAAAATAACGGTACTCATTTTTTTGCAATCGAGAGTTCCAATCACCTCCGAAAATCCACGAATAAACGAATTATACACACAACAATTAAATGAATTAAAAGAAATCCGTCTTCAATTCAACTTTCGGTAGACCGAACACAACATATATATAACATGCGATATATGAAATCGATCGTAATAACGAGGGGATTCGAATAAGTTACCTGACTTCGGGAAACTACGAGTTATCAGACGGGAAACAGGCCCGACAGCGGGTCGAAAAAATGGCTTTGGAACCTGATGAACGACTGTTGCTTACTAACGGCTTGTCGGACTCCTTCAGACGGACTGAGGGAAGCTTGAGAACGCAAAACGGACGTCGTTCCTCTTCGAACGGCTGCCGGAAGCACGTAAAGGGGTGGAGGCTTGCCAGCGGTCTCGAGCTCTACGGCTATGGCGGACTTCTTTGGCCTGCGAGCGGAAAGGACTGGAGCTGCTGTGACGGGCCTGCTGCTGGCGAGGAGAGCTCGCGGTTGGGCTGCTCGGAGGTCGGCGATGGTAGGTGAGCTCGCCGGGGAAGAAGGTAAGCTCTGTGTCTTTTTTTTTAATTCTGCTACGAGAGAAGAGAGAGAGATAAGTTTTATTTTTTTTGTTTTGAGATGAAGAATTCCAACTGAACTTAATAGGCGAGAGAGTGGGAGATAAGATGAGAGAACGTGAGCTGAAGATCTCCCGTAAAAATCGCAACAAAAATTTGAACGTTTGAAGAAGACGACTTGGTCTCGCGGAAGAGAGAAGGTGAAGTTTCCGTTCATTTTTACGTTGTTATGATCCTTCTCATTTGCGCCATAAGATTTAATAAAGAAATTTGGGCCAAGCTTAAATAGTACTACATATGGGCCGGAATTAATTAAAATTGGGTCGAAACAAAATTGATCGGGCCGAAATAAAATCCACGCGATAATAAGAATTTTCGCTCGATCCGATTTAATAGAATATGGCCCGAAATAAAAAAAATAAAACCGGATTTATATATATTTATAATACACACAATAATAATAATAATAATAATAATAATAATAATAATAATAATAATAATAATAATAATAATAATAATAATAATAATAATAATAATAGGCAATAAAAACAATTAGACATTTAATGAAAATTATAATAACAATAATAATAGTAATAATAATAATAATAATTATGCAAAATAAATAATCTCAATTATTCATGAACAAACGGGGCGTTACAGTCCACCCACCTTACAAAGAATTCCGTTTTCGAAATTCGAAAATAATCTAGAAAGCGATAAAATACAAAGGAGAACTCAGAACTCAAAGTTCGGATAACGCCTCCTAATCTCGGCCTCCTTTTCCCAAGTCGCCTCGGTCTCATCGTGTCGGCTCCACAGCACCTTCACCAAGCTCACTGCCCGGTTCCTCAGCTGATGGACCTTCCGATCCAGAATAGCTACCGGCACCTCCTCATAGGCAAGGTCTCGCTCGACCTGCAGTTCGCCGAAGTCCACCACATGATCAGGATTATGCACATACTTCCGAAGCATCTAGACATGGAATACGTCGTGCACACCCGACAAGTCCGGTGGTAAAGCCAGCTGATACGTTATGTTCCCGACTCGGTCGAGGATCTCGAACGACCCAATATAGCGAGCTTTAAGCTTCCCTTTCTTTCCGAAGCGAATCACACCTCGCATGGGTGAAACCTTCAGAAGGACATGATCTCCTACCACATACTCATGCTCATGTCTCTCTCGGTCGGCATAGACCTTCTGCCTCTCCTAGGCGGACCTGATGGTCTTCCGGATCTCCTCAACGGTCGCAGAAGTACTCTGAACAAAATCTGGTCCTGTAATCCTCCTTTCTCCAACCTCATCCCAATACAGAGGGGTCCAGACCTTACGTCCATACAAAGCCTCGTACGGGACCATCTTGATCGAAGAGTGGTAGCTGTTGTTGTAGGTCAGCTCGACTAGCGGAAGGGCATACTCCCAAGTCAGGCTTCAGTCCAAGACCACAGCCCTCAATATATCCTCCAAGTACTGGATCACACGCTCTGACTGACCATCTGTCTCGGGGTGGAAGGCTGTACTGAACTCCAACCTCGTCCCCATGGCTCGGTGCAACGTCCTCCAGAACTGGGATGTGAACTTGGCATCTCGATCCGAAACAATCTCCACGGGCACTCCATGAAGCTTGACAATGTCCTTGACGAACAATTCGGCGTAATCACTCGCCTTCATGGTCGTCCGGACAGGCAGAAAATGGGCAGACTTTGTAAGGCGATCCACTATCACCCAAATCGAATCATACCCACTCCTCGATCTCGGCAATCCTACTAGGAAATCCATGGTGATGCACTCCCACTTCTACATGGGAACCTCGAGGGGATGCAATAACCCTCTCGGTTTCTGGCGCTCAGCCTTCACTTGCTGACACACCAGGCACCCATCCACGAACTTCGCTACCTGCCTCTTCATGCCTCGCCACCAGAAAGACTTCCTCAGATCCTGATACATCTTCGTGCTACCAGGATGGATGGTGTACGGGGCACTATGGGCCTCCCTCAAAATCTCTCTCCGCAGTTCCCACACCCTCAGAACACAAAGTCTACCCTCAAAGACCAAGGCTCCATCGGATGCGACTGCGAAACCACCAACTCTACCAGATGCTGACAACTCCCTCATACGGTATAAGAATCGGTCATTCGGTTGCTCGGCGACTATCCTCTCTCGAAGAGTCGGTCCCACAACCAAAGAGGCCAATACGCCCCTGGCTGTCGATGTCGACTCCACTGCCTCCAGCTGTAATCGCTCGAACTCCCGAAGAAGAACATCCTGCCTGGTGAACAAGCAAGACAGCTGGCCATAACTCCTCCGACTAAGGGCATCGGCTACCACATTAGCTTTCCCAGGGTGATAGCTAATGGTGCAGTTGTAGTCCTTGACCAACTCCAACCATCTACGTTGCCTTATGTTCAGCTCCTTCTGAGTGAATATGTACTTCAGGCTCTTGTGGTCGGTAAAGATCTCACACTTGCCTCCATAGAGATAGTGCCGCCAAATCTTCAAGGCGTGGACAACTGCAGGTAACTCGAGATCATGAGTGGGGTAGTTCTGCTCGTGAGGCTTCAGCTGCCTCGAAGCATAGGCCACGACTTTCCCCTGCTGCATAAGGACACATCCCAAACCCATCTTCGAAGCATCACTATAGATGGTGAACTCCAAAGTAGGGTCGGGTATAGATAGGACAGGCGTGGTAGTGAGTCTCCTCTTCAACTCCTGGAAGCTCTCCTCGCACTGAGAACTCCAATCGAACCTCACGACCTTCTTCGTAAGGTTGGTCAGCGGCTGGGCTATCTTCGAGAAGCCCTCAATAAATCTCCTGTAGTATCCTGCTAACCGCAGGAAACTACGAACATCCGCTGCGCTTCTCGGCGTATCCCACTTACTCACCGCATCAATCATGCTGGGATCCACTTCAATGCCTCTCGTTGTCACAATGTGGCCAAGGAATGCCACGCGGTTCAGCCAGAATTCATACTTCGAGAACTTAGCTTACAACTTCTCGCGGCGAAGAGTCTCCAGCACAATCCTCCAATGCTCCTTGTGCTGATCGATATCTCGGGAATAGACCAGGATGTCATCGATGAACACAATAACGAACTGGTCCAGGAAGGGATGAAAGACCCTATTCATAAGGTCCATGAAAATGGCCGGGGCATTGCTGAGTCCGAAAGGCATGACTACGAACTCATAGTGGCCATAGCGGGTACGGAAAGCAGTCTTAGAAATATCCGACTCTCTGATCTTCAGTTGATGATAGCCAGAACGCAAGTCAATCTTTGAGAAGACGCTGGCTCCTCTCAGCAGATCAAAAAGGTCCTCAATACGGGGAAGGGGATACTTGTTCTTGACTGTAAGGGCATTCAACTCCCGGTAGTCAATGCACATGCGCATAGATCCGTCTTTCTTCTTCACGAATAGGACGGGCGCACCCCACGGCGAGACACTCGGACGAATGAAACCAAGCTTGAGCAACTCCTGGATCTGGGCCTTGAGCTCTTGAACCTCCTTCGGCGCCATACGGTAAAGGGCCTTAGAAACGGGGCCGGCTCCTGGAATTAGGTCAATGGTGAACTCCACCTGGCAGTCGGGCGGTCCTCCGGGTAAGTCATCTGGAAAGACGTCGAGGTACTCGCAAACAATAGATACTCGCTCGGGCACCCGCTCATCAACATCGTCGGATACCATGGAAACAAGATAGCCTTGACAGCTACCCTGTGAAAGGCTCTTCCTAGCTTGCATAGAAGAGATGACCCGAGGCACAGAGTTCGAACTCACCCCAAAGAACACAACAGGCTAATCGGAAACGGGATAGAGGGTGACTTCACGCTCTTGGCACCGGATGTCATCTCGATAACGGGTGAGCCAGTCCATGTTAGAGGTATGCTGTAAAAGCTGTGTTTTGCAGTTTCTATCAATTCCATT